ATACACATACACATACACGCACACGCACACGCACACGTACACGCACACGCACACGTACAAGTACACGTACACATACACACACACACAGATGCATACATCTGAAAAATACACAAAAACGCATAGACTTGAGCATACAAAAATGTGTAAGTATGTGTGTGTATATATATATGTACATGTGCATATATTTATATATGTATGTATGTATGCATGCATGTATGCATGCATGTACGTATGCGTGTATGTGTGTATGTGTGTATGTGTGTATGTGTGTATGTGTGTATGTGTGTATGTGTGTATGTGTGTATGTGTAAGTAAGTGTGTAAGTAAGTAAGTGTGTAAGTAAGTAAGCAAGCAAGCAAGCAAGTATGTATGTATGTATGTATGTATGTATGTATGTATGTTGTATGTATGTTGTATGTGTGTGTATGTATGTATGTATGTATGTATGTATGTACATATTTACCTACTTACCTACCCACCTACCTACCTATGTGCCCGCCTACCTACCTACCTACCTACCTACCTACCTACCTACGTGCATGCACGCATGCATGCATACATACATATATACACAAATATATACACATCTACAAAACAAACGCACAATACACAAATACATACATACATACATACATACACACATACATACATACATACATACATACATACATACGTATATACACATACATACATACACATACATACATACATACATACATACATACATACATACGTATATACACGTACAAACATACATACATGCATACAGAAAGAGTTTGCAGAAGGAGATCCCGGGTGAGAATAGACCGCAGTGATCTCAGGAGACTCGTCCTTGCGATTCTGGCGCCCCTGATGTCTGAAGAACGACAATGATCGCTTCCAGAAAAGGCCTTACTTCGCAACTGGCTGTCGCATCTTCAGAACTGTGGTCTTGTCCGCGAGCATGCATGTGTGAGTCAGGTAGAAGTGCAAGTACCCGGACGCAGTCTCCTTAAAAATGTGTGTTGGTGAGGGGGGGTGGTGTGGGGTCATCAATCGTGTGAGCTTGGTTCTCGACGGTCATAGCCGATGCATGGCTAAGGCCGCCACTCCAAACCGGCCCCCGCACTGGTCACCTGTAAACAACAGGCTGTCAACAACAATCTGACTTCTCTGTGGGCGGCTTGAGTATCGAAAGTGTCCAGCCAGTCTGACTGGGACAAAACCGATACACATCAGTCGTTCAGGTCCATCCTGCAACCATCTCAAATGAATCCAGCAACCTTCACGGTAGTCCTGTCTAAACGATGTAGAACCGAATGACAACGTGGTGCTTAGCCAGAGCATATTCCACCAGGCACTGCGAAGCTGAAGCTGGGATGAGGAGAAAGCATTCCGCCCTCTGAAGCTGAGAACTCTAACCTCTAACAGCACTCGAGGGGAACGGAGGGGAATGGCCTTCATCGGCTCCGCCTTCTCGATCGGCTTGGATTTTGCAGGCACCTGTCATACAAGAAGCAGCTAGAACTTGCATGACTTGCATCTTTCCGTCTTTTTAGGGGAAGGATGCTGTCCAAAGTCCCAAGCAGAGAGAGCTCTATTTCGGTCGTCTCTGTCGTCCCAATACTTCGGAAATTGCCCAACGAAGTCACACGAAAGAGGGAACCCTGTTTCCGGCATATCTTCACCATGCTTCTTCGGACTTGTACTCTAAGGCCCCTGAGGCACTGACGTCCGGAGGAGCAAAGGCTGCTGCTGTGGCCGTCATGGCCTTTTTCATGTCGCGGAGCTCCTCGAGTCCGTGTGCCTTGCGATCTTCAAGCACTGCACGTATTTGGTTCTGAGCTTGGGAAGGACCATGGGTGTGAGCCAAGTGCATCCAAGCAGCAAAACGGCACTGACTGCCGTTTCGGCATTTGCCTGCAAACAAAATACCCCTCCATCATCACACTATCCTGCCGATTTACCCAGGACTGTTGCTGAGACTGGCATGGTCCTCAAGCGAAGGGGATTCAAGTCCTGGCTTGCGGGAGCTTTCAGGACCTCCAAGTGCAGCGAAGGTGCCCTTTTCGTTCCACTTGCAAAGCGACATCTTATGGAAGAGACCCGTCGAGACCAGCTCCTGTCATTGTGATCGTGCAGGGGAATCGGCATGTCTCTACAATACTTCCGTTACTTCAACACGGCATCAACACGATAGAGAAAAGGCTGGCATTCCACGGTTTTGGGCTCGACGCCGACGTTGTCCTGCTCGCCATGCGCAAAGGCACAGTTCGGATCGGTGCACTTGCCCTCGGCGAAGGCCTTCACGGACTCTTCTGCTCTTCTGAAGGCTTGTCATGGGATTCAGCCCTAGGGCCCTAGGCACCATGGGTGAAATGTAGGGGCCTACAGCCAGTCGCTGAACTGCAGGAAGATGAGCAGAAGTGCGAATGAGGTGAGCGAGACTTCAGAGCCCCAACTCCCGGCCTTGCACATGCGGGTCTTGCGAAGATCCGGCATGGCCTGGCACAGAAGCCCAAAACCGGTTCACCCCCTCGACTTGTGTCCCGGCCTGGAGCTCGGTGCAGCTGTGTGCGAAGGCACACTGTGGGCCGTAGTGACAGGCCCCCTCGACTCCGGTCGTGTCATTCTTTGCGTCTCTTATCTCTTGTCCGTGCATGCCTTGAGGAAGTAGGTGCAGAACTTCGTCTTGTGCAGCTGGCGATGGAGGCAAGCCTCGAGCAAGGCAGACTGTAAGTCCTAAACCCCCAACCCGAAGCCCTCAACCCTATGATTGCAAACTCATAAACCCTACATCCTAAACGGGAACTGCGGTATCTGAGCTGTGAAACTCAGGGTCCTATCAACCTTCTCCGTGCTGCGCGACGACTGCACCTGCAAAACATTTTGCCTTCCAGCCTCCCTACAAACTGCTGGCATCTTCTTCTTGTGCCCGGACAGACGCTGCCAAGATACGGCAACACGCAACCTCTCGCAACCACTTGTAGGCGAAGAGGCCCTATGGCCTTCTACGGTCAAGACAGTCAACAGAACAAAAATCAAAAGTTGTCACAAATGACTTTTCATCGGCGCATCTCTAACGTCAGGACAGCAGGTCAACAGATGGCCTTCTCCCAACGATGCGCAATAACTGAAGCCGAAACCATGCTCTCGGGCCATGGCGCGGCGGTTCACCTCTCCTTTGGCCTCCTCCAGGAGCTTGGCCTGACCTCAGCCAGCCCCTGAAGCTGAACATAGCTTGATGCATTGGATCTCAAAAGGCAGCTGCTCGGAATCCTTGGACCAAGCGAAATCTTGGAAACCGCACGTTCAGCAGCAGTCGTCTTCTTGCTGCCTGCGGCGGGGCTGTTCAGGTAAGGTCAACATGCTGTGGCAAGCATCCTACGCCTGCACCCGCGAAGCAGCTCTGTGCAGAGCACCGGAATAGCTGAAAGGGTGCAGATGATAGGATTCTCCGAAGAAGCCCACAAGACAGCATGACCGTGGTGCCTCCCATTGCTTTGGATGTCAAGTCGATGCGCAGAAGCGTGGATCCGAAGCTGATATGCCTGGAGCCACCAAGCTTCAAGGAGCAGCGGGATCCTTCTTCAGTTCTTCCCTCGCCGCAAGCTCGTTTATCCGTAATTCTGAATAGACCCCCACACACCTTCAAAAGGCTTGTCGCCTTCCGCAGAGCACAGCTAGCAGCAGCTAGCGACCGAAACTCTGATGCTGGCATCGTTTGGGCAACAAGCTGTCCTGAGTTCCAGGCTTCAGCGGATCCGACGAAAGGCAAGCCACAAAACACTGAGGGAGCCAAGATGGCAGCAGGAATGTCAAGAACCGATGGTGCACGCTTTGCGTGGCCAAGGTAGTTGGTGGTATTTTGGGCACCCGAATCACGGAATGTCCTGGCTCGGGGCCGACGCCTGACATCGGTAGACTGATGTTGACCTGTGCTGGGACGCCCGAAGCTACTCCTGATGTTGAAAGTCGGGCTTGCGGCCTTGACGGAGCACAGGCTTCGCCTCTGGTGGGGTCCTATTTTAGACTGTTTCGCCGGATTTCTTGGATGATCGGCGACATTTGGCGACCCCGACAGTTCGAGCGAGCGAAGTCAGCAGCTTCGGCGTTGACGCTTTTGTGCACGCGACAAAAGAGGGTGTGAGATGCGAATAACTAAGGTCCAACACCCCCTGACGAAGTTCTATTCACCAGCACAGGAAACTGGCTCTAGCCTGTTGGAGTCGCCGCAACAGCTGTTCTCGAGAGCTAATGTGGGGTGTGCATTGTGTTCCTAGAACCTCCTGCATCTGCAAATCCAGTCCGAACTTCCACCAAAGCTACCGAAATAACGAACGTCCTTTGTACCTGCTCACGAAAACCCCCCACTAAACCACCCAGCAGTAGGACAGTGCGGAAAGGCCCGGGGGCCGGCGTCTCATGGACACCGCCGAGGCGCTGTCCCAGATTCACTGCTGCTTCAACCCTCAACGGGCGATCAAGATAAGTAGTGATGTTTGGATGATATCGTTGTTGGCTTGACTTGTACTGCTTCTTGCCAACCTATGAGACAGGTAGACACGCCACCAAGGAACGGTTGGTGCAGCGTGGGCGGAGGACCTGTGGCACTATGAACCGCCGGCCGAGGCGTCTAAGCTGCGCACAACGTGGTCAGGGAATGGACCCTGTAGTCAGGCACCGACAACAGGTAAGCCACAAATGAGCACCGAGCCGATGAGACTAAGACCCATAACCGGTGTTTTTCCGATCCGTTGGTCGCATCCTGCACTGATGGTCGTGAACCGCAGCGTCCTGGGCTGCCCACTCACCAAATCCGAGCATCGCGGTCTAGTCCGACCTGGGCGAGCTGCAACTGCCGCAAGGCCAGGTCGTGAGCTCTGTGCTGAGTATGAAACAGACACTCTGTGAGTGCTCTGCAAAGAGCTTTTGGGGAGACATCGCCCAACGACTTGTATTCTGCTGTTTCTTCCTCTTCTGATTCGCCTCTGCTGTGCTTGCTGCTATGGCCCGACATCATGAACACTAGCCGCGGCCCATCCTACCGGGTGCTTCAAGCATCCATGCTGACGCCGATGCCAAAATCTGGGGCCACTGCAACGGGATCTCTTCTAGATCCTCCAAAGGAGACTTCCTAGAATGTCATGAACAGCAGAATGCACAGCGAACATGAACTCCTGGGATTTGGAATCTTCATCTGAGCGTTGAAACCTCGGGCCCAATGGAAAGCGGTGGATGCAGGTTCGAATCGGGGACCGACACTGCATCCGTCTAAAGTGCGAGGAGCTGCGAGATCAGGAGATGTGGTCTCTGCACAACGGCAGCTCCCTGGGCATAATGGGGCTCCTGGAGCATCGGCTAGAGCCGCTAGAGCCGCTAGAGGGGTTTCTGAGGGCTACGGACACTATCGATCCCTGGCTTTCATGTGCGACTCAGCTCCCCAAGTCCTGACGTGGCCTTTTCGAGCGCAGCAACTCCACGTGGTCACGCGGCTCCTGATAAACCTGTATGAGAACACAGCCTTACCATCGGGAAAATGGCCGTTGAGCCTGCACTCCGCCGCCCGGAAAAAAGGACAGCAGGAAGGACAGCCCCTCCGTAGACCCGCCATGAATTATGCTGTCTTTCAGCTAGCATGCATCATGGCCTCGACCAACATCTTGCACAAGCACAGGCAGCAAGCCTCGTTGCACATTGAAGGTGGCATCGACTGTATTAAACCAACTCGAGGTATGCTTACTACAAAAAACACCGCTGGCGGCCTTCACCGATGGCACAGGTACCATGGCAGCAACACTCGGTAGAACAATCAATGGCGCGTAAGAGAAGACTTTGGCACGCAATGAAAAGCATGCTACCTCACAGAGTCCTGCTACCTTCAACATGCGGGTCTCAGCAATGCTTGGCACAGTCGTTAACAAGTCTCATACTGAGGGGGCAGGCTGGATAGCGCTGAACCAGAAAGCTGTGCTGTGAAGACTCGAAAGGACAGCGTCCAAATCAATGGTTTCGGAGCAGAACTTGCGGTAGGGGCAGCAGCCTGAGTTTTCGACCAAAGGCATCTTGTGAACCGGATACTCAGTCCGAACGTTACGCAAGACAGTGCGCCGTTCACTTCTTACATGCAAACACGTCCTATCTACCATCAACCATTGTCAGCCAAGCTCAGAGGCAAAAAACAACCTCCCGACGCTGTCTGGTTGAAGCTTTTGGACACTCGAGTAAGTTAGGCTTTCGCGCGTTGGCCAGCCCCAACGTTAGCGACCCCCCAAGGCGTGTAGCAGCCGCTTCTGCTGAACGCACGAGGTTGGACCAAACCTGGCGACAAGCGGTCTTCTCGATGTCCCACAGTATGCTGCAGATTGACGTGCTGGTTTTCGAGAAACGAGGGACGCGACGAAAGAGACGCAGAAGGTCAGAATAGACAAGCGGGATCAGAGCTGCGTCGTGTCGGACAGATGTTCCGAGTGCGCTGGGCCCTGACGAGTCACAGGAAAGGGAAAGGGGCAATGGTCCCTTGGAAGCGCCGCCTCAGGACAAGCCTGTATCTCCTGACGCGGAAATGAAGGAGCCTGAGTCAGCTGACCTTGAGGAACTCTCGCAAGGCAGGGACCGCAGCCCCAGACGGGTCTCGCGGAGTGGCTCCAAAGAGCCGAACCAGTCCCAGGGAGAGTAGGGATGCGGTGGGGCGTGTGGAGCCAATGACCCTAAACCCTAACCCCTAAGCCCCTAAACCCTCAAACCCTAAACCCCCAAACCCTAAGACCCTAAACCCTAAAGCCCCAAGCCCCTAAACCCTCAAACCCTGAACCCCTACACTCCTACACTCGAACCCCGAGCTGCCTTCGCGCTCCAACGGACTTTACCTGCTTGGATCTCAAGGGTTTAAGGCTTAAGGTTGAAGGGGTTTAGGGTTTAGGGGTTTTGAGGTTTGAATGGGGTTTAGGGGTTTGGGTTTAAGGTTGAAGGGGTTTAGGGGTCAGGGTTTAAGGTTAAAGGGTTGTAAGGGTTTAGTTGAAGGGATTAGGGTTTTAGGTTGAAGGGGTTTAGGGGTTAGGGCGGTTAGGGTTTAAGGTTGAAGGGGTTTAGGGGTTTGGGTTCAAGGTTGACGGGTTTTTAATTTAGGGTTTAAGGGCTTTGGGGTTAAAGGGTGTTAGGGTTTAGGGTTTAGGGGTTGAGCCTGATCAGACCTTCATCGGGTCCTTACCAGGGTATTGAGGCCCTCTGTCCCGCCTCTCCCCGTAGCCCCCTAAGCGTCCTTGTGATCCGTCCTTATGATCTGCCTTAGTTCTCCAATACCCAACCGTTAATTTTTCATGGCTCTCAAAATGTAGTAGCAATCTGCAAGGGTAATCTTTTTATTTCCCTGGCTTCTTGGGGAAGCAAGCTGCAGAGTTAGGGTTTATGCACTAGGGTTTTGGGCTCGTCGGAACGGCTCACGGTGGAGGAGCAACTTTCGGGTTTTGGGGTTGAAGGTGACACATTTACACACACACACAAGCGCCCAAGCCCAAAAGGTCCCACATCCTTTCCCTCAACTCCAAAACCCCTAAACCCTGAACCCAAACCCTGGGTGACATTGCAAAAGCTGTTTTTTGTTTACAGCTTCTTTTTTGCAACAGGGATACTTGCAGGTTTCGGCTAGGCTTCTGGAGCATACCCCGCAGGGGCGGGTTGGGGGTTGGGGTTGAACCCAGGTTGTAACCCCGGGGGCCGGGTCCACGGGGGGGGGGTCCAACAACCTGAACTTGAGGTTGTGGGTTCGTTCACCCCAACCCTAACCTCACGTTAGGGTTGGGGTTCAACCCCAACCTCAACCCCAGGTTCTGGGTTCGGGTTAACCCTAACCTCAACTTGGGGTTAGGGTTGGGGTTAACCCGAACCCCAACCCCAGCGCGCCCCGCAGGTTAGGGTTGGGGTTAACCCGAACCCCAACCTCGATCCGTAGGTTAGGGTTATAGGGTGAACCGGAAACCCAACCCCGATCCGCAGGTTAGGGTTGGTTAACCCGAACCCCAACCGCTGTCCGCAGGTTAGGGTTGGGGTAAACCCAACCCTGACCCCAACCACGGATCCGCGGGTTAGAGTTGCAATTGAACCTCAACACACAAGAAGGAGAAAGCCATACGAAAACGCGTAAGGGGCCTAAAAGCAAAGAAAATACATTGAATCACACATGAAACGTCTCTTCCGACAGACAAGAAGGCAAACTCCCCGCTTTCTTCAGACACGAAAACACGCACACAAAGGCTTCTTCCACACAAGTGAGAAAGCCACACGAAAACGCTTCAGGGGCTTCAAAGCGAAGAAAATATAGTGAATCATACAGGAAACGTCTTCTGGGACAGACAAGAAGGCAAGAGCCAGTACTTTCTTTGCGGAATGTAACAGCCAGAAAAACAGCAAATGAAAACGAACAAACGAACACGAGCGTTGTCTCCAACACACAAGATGGAGGAGCTGATCGAAATCGCTTTAAGGGAAAAACGAAGAAAACAGAGATCCTTTTGGAAGGCTTGCAAACGGGGGGGCTTGCAAATGGGGCGATTGCCAAGGTCTGGAAGGGCAACGTGTCTCCTTGTAAATGGAGCGTCCTGCAAGCTTCACCTGCAACGTTGACAGAAAAACACACTCACAGCACGTTACAGACACAGCAATTAACCAAGCAGACACAGGCAAAAACAAGGTGGCAAAAAAGAAGTTGCAAATGTTGCATTGGCAAAGTTTTTTGCGGAAAAATGGCTGCAATGGAGTTGTAAAAGTATGCAATTTTCCAGCATTTCCTGTTTAAGTCATAGGGAAAGATTATGACCTTTATGACACCGTCCAGTGACCACAAAGCCCTTTCGAGTGAGAGGTTGCCCAGCTCCGCAAAGCTGCAGTTTACAGCGGCCTCAGTGGGAAAAAAAGAACGCCTTTTCAGTTCCAGCTTCCAAAAAACCCTGTTCAAGCCACCCCCACCATGGTATCCCCCCGCACAGCCCGGCGCGCCGCTCAATCCAATGCAATAATATTACAATTACCAAGTCTACCAATGCAACAAACTCAATTATGTTTTTTGAAAGTGCTGATTTAATGCATTGAGCCTGTTGGACAAGGTATATTTCGTCCTCTACGTCCTATTGGTTTATAATTTCTTGTCATTTTTTATCTTTATTATTTCATTCATCTTCAAAATCATTCGTATATTATAGTAGTAATAATAAAGGAATAAAGCCAGCTTGCTTATAGAGTATCTGTGTTAGGTAGTGTAGATCTAATTATTTGTTTTTTATCTTTATTCTTTCATTCATCTTTATCATAATCATTCGAATATATGACAGTAATAATAAAGGAAAGAGGATGAATAAGACTGCGTCAACGTTTTTCCAGTCACTGCGGGAACACTTCTCCAGTCAAATATTTGAAGTAATTAATTACTAAATAGAAAGAGATGTTGGCTGTGTTAGGTAAAGTAAGCAAATAATGAAATAAAACAAAGCAAAAGGTATCCTTGTGACTGTGGACACTTCTCCCAAATGGCGGCTCCAAAAAACCGTCAGTTCTCACGCGAATCTCGTCCCAACACACCCGATCCTTGTGACACTGCACACTTTCCAACCACGACGCAGACATGAGGGTGTTAAACACATGCAACTGTTATGTCTGGCACAACGCGCGCCCAGGTTTCCCATCCGTCCAACAATCAATGATGACCGATTTTCCGCCACCCTCTGTCAATATGATCGTGACACGATCTGCTGATGGGTTTGTACCTGGTTGTTTGCAAAACCTCGTCCTCAACCGGCTCGTACATGCCGACTCTGGGAGTGAAATGTCTACGAATCAGCACATGTCCAACTTTCACCCACACATCAGGCGATGGCTTTGCTTCAGGCAAGATGGCATGATGAGCAGCCACTTGAAGCCACGAGCACTCCACTCCATGATGAGTGCTGTCATCATCCACTTCATCTGGAGTTTCATATGAGTGCATGTACAGTGAGTCGTGTTGCTGCGCAGTGTACCCATGAATGCCGC